AAACTAAACAACCTACAGTAGTTTTACAGTCTTTATTTTACAGTTAAAATATATGTTTATCAAATAAAGTCTAATGTTACAAATAATCAGGGATCCCTTTAAAATTTGAAGTGCACTAAAATTGTCAAAAAGAAAGAAAGACTCCTCTAAAATATTCAGGTAATCAACTGAGAAATTATTACAGCATTGCACGGTTACTGTAGAGTCAGTGTGTACAGTGTCTTACCTTAATCTGCCTCTTCATGGTGATGCAAAAGAGCATGATGAAGTACATTACAAGGATTGGCCAGAACACCGGCACGTTGAAGGCATCAAAAAATGTGCAAACCATGGCGATGACGATGCCTTTTGTCGCTGAGTGCCTGGCAGGAAAAACAACGTCACTTATCTTAAAATGATACAACCAGATTTGTAACACTCATGAAGCAGAAATCAAACATGCTCCATACCAGCATAAACATTATTTAACAGCAAAAATAGCTAACATACAGCTAGTTGTTTAGAATTATCTTAAAAACATTTACCAGAACAAGAAGGTTCAGGTGTGGCTCACATTAAGGCCACAGGGTAATCAGAAATAGAAATACACTTTAACTAGTTAGAACTGCAAATGCAGTCCAACAAACCAAATGACTTCAGTGAGCTCACTACTGTGAATCACAAGTGTTTTAAAAAGAGAACGCTGACAAATCTAATACTCAGAATGTTGTTAGTGTAGTGTTGAGTCAAAACTCAATTTTAAGTCAGCAACAACTACATTTCAAATGGTAAAATTCAAAAAGTTGAAATCAGTTTCAAATGTGCAACGCGGAAGACTAGTGTGTTTARTCAGTAACACAATAGGTTGATACAAATTTAATAACCAATGCATAAAAACAAAAATAATTCTTGTACCAACTTTGCTCAAAATTGTTGCTGTAATTTCAATGCAAACACTGTTACAATCAATTTCACTGGTAGCTGGTATCATGTCATCTTGATATGACAAGTTTTTATTTCTGTTTGCTACAATGTAAAAGGCACAAATATTTTGTTCAATCTCTCAGATTACAACAGACATTGCCAGAGGAAAAGAAACAAAGTACACAGAGGAAAGAAGCATGCAAATGAGTAGTCAAACAGAAGAAATGTAAGTTTTTACTGCTGCCTATTCCACCAAATCCACTTGCATTGTGACAGAATTCAATGTTAWACAAGTGTACTAAAATGTGCTCAGTTTTAATGCAGGACGCCTTAATGTTAGAAGAAAGAAAAAAAATCTACATTGTTTAAAACCTTGCTTGCTTATTTAATGCCTGTTATGTGACTACCAGAAAGCTACTTTCTCTTTCTTCCTGTTTTAGTAAACAACAGAAACAAGTTTGCATAACATCGACAGACCGGACAGTGACTAAATTAAAAATACTCAAATGCAGAACTGCAATCTTTTAGACAAGGTGTTGCACTTTTAYAAAACTGATAAAAATTATAAACTATTTTTAAAATCTACCAATTGTTTTTCTTCTATAAACTATTTTTTAAATTTGTCTTTTAGACATGCTGTRAGAGCTAAGAGGTAAAGATATTGCTGAGATGATCATATAAAACTCTTTGCAATTTGTGATGTTAAATCAATGTTTTAACTTTACTTGGTTTCAGCTAAAAGGCTACATCTTCAACCAAATGAGTTCTGACTGACTTCGTCTTTGGTCACACAAGTAATTCTAAAGAAAATAATTTGCACTCCGTTTGTGGATGATCGTGACAAACAGTCAAACCCAAACCCCTACCAGAATTTGAATTCAGGCAACCTCCTGATGAAAGGGCGGAACTCCTCGTTCTGCTTGGTGGGAAGGGATGGGCCCTCATCTACAGGAGAGGTAGGTTACAGAATGACAGAGTGATCTCTTCAGTCTTTTAAACAACAAAACTGATATGAAAACAGCAAATATTGAAAATCCTAAATATGTATCAAAAGAGAAACCTGACTGTTAGGTCAACACCACAGAYGAATAATAATTAAAAGGGAAGTCTGTCAACTTGCCTTCATCAAGTAGTGAGGGATCCACTTTTGGCGATAGAAATGCAATGAACAGGTTCAGATGGTAGATTCCCAAAGCATATGTTACTATATACCACCCCTGAAAAGCAGCACAACAAAATGCCCACATTTTKCTTTGTGATTAATATGCGGAAAAGAAACAAACGTCAACTTAGGCTGAAAAGTCAAACAAGAAAAAAAAAAAACACAATCACCTGTAGTATGTAGACTCTGATCATGTAGACAAGCGTGAGTAGTAGAGTGAGAGCCCATCGCACCGCAGAGAACGGCGTTGACTTGTCAAGCCATGACTGATAGACCTGTTATAAAACAGAAAAGTAACCATGACATCAGAAATGATTTTATTGAAAACACAAGGATTGCAACACTGTTTAAGTGCTGTACATGACAAACAAATATCAAAAATCATAATGACTTGTTTCATCKGAGAGATAATCACATCACCTGTCCAATCCTGGTGAAAAAGGCAGCAACTACAGATGGTTTCCCATGGATTGACTCCCCAACGCTGTCCCCTTCTGACATCCTGCCAGAAAAAAAATACATTTTAAACAATGTTGGCAAAAATATGCTACATGCATATTTTGAAGAAATTGGACTTTTTAGAATGTAACCCACATATATAAAACATTTCTTGTGAAAACAATGAACAAAACTTACCATGTAATACAAATTAAGTGATAAAAGTGATTAAATTAACCGAGTACTAGTAGTGAGTTACTTACTTAATTTGATCCAGTCATTCAGAACCTACTATAAGCAGACTTTGGGTTCAGTCTGTTATGTACTTTCTGAATGATGATATGAGACCAGATAATCTGCTATCATGAATAACTAGTGCTTTGTTTATGACTGATAATAGATCAATTATATCAGTGTAGAAAGACAACTGTAAGAGAAATGATTTATCTTAAAAAATGTTATGACAAATAATAATAATAATAAAATCAGTTGTTGCTTACGTTTCATCACAGGCTCATATTTGGAGACGTATAACAGACAAATTTCTCTGACAACGTTAATGATTTTAACCATAGTAGCGGCTAAAGTTTAAATTATGTTTTGTATACTATGCGCGACATCTAGTCACAAAGACTAAAGACTTATTTCGTTATAAACATTTGAGTAAAAAGAAAATAAATTAAAGACAGAAGAAGACTGCTCCTGGTTGTGGCTAGCTAACATTCTTTGTATTACTTACTTAGCCTGCAAGCTTAGGTTGTTGCTACACTGCTGGCTGCTCGCATATTAAAAAAAATAGGAACACTGGGAAATCATACGGAGGACTTAAGAAACACAATAGTTTAACTACTATCAACGTTTAACCTGGGACATATTTTGAATGATTGGCATTAGCTTGAAAATTAGCCACAGAAACGGCTAACTAGCCGTGTAAACSTATGTTCCCCTTTGCCCCAAATTTCCGCTTATGGGTTATGTAGTTCTTCTATATCCACTGTAACCTGCTTATTGGGCTTCAAACGAAGCTATGTACCTACATTTCCCACAATTCCCAAGTAGAAAGAACTAAACCATGACCAACAAAATTGTAGTTTAATATAGTCTCTGGTTCAGCTGTACGCGTTCATTATCAGGGCCTATTGAAACTACAAATGCCAGCAACGACTGCGAAAAATGGACAACTCACTTCCTGTGATACGTTACTACGCTATCAGCGGTACGGCAGCTAGCCTGTTAGCACGTTTAGAAAGACAAATATGTAGTGACTACGATTGAAATCAAAGAATAACGTATTCATTTTTACACTTGAGCCACAAACTGTATTTCTATCCGTCTCGCTCTAATGTGGTAGTAATTAAATCTTAAATCAACAATGACAATTGCTTCTTACCTGATGCGGATTCTGTGTCACTGCCCGGCTCTACCTAGCTAGCTGCACTAGCTACTTGTCGTGAACACGTCAGTATTTCCGCGAGGAGCAACTCTTTCAAAAGGCGGCTTAATCGAACCCCGAGTACTGCGCAGCATCATCGATCTGCTGCACTAAGTACACRTTTTGATACAAAAAATACAACGTTTTAGTTCATTTAAATATGACCTGATAAGAAACTTAGATCATAAGTCACAACTGTTTGAACAAGGAAAACATTATTGATGACAAAAAGATTTTATTCATGATTTAAGGGAAACACTATATTAACAACCTCAAGGATTAACAACACTTCCTACACACATCCTTTATCTCTTTACAAAACAGATGATACAAAAAATTTACACAGTATGGCTATATTAAAACACGTTTATTTACAGCATGAAAATGCATGTCCCAATACTGATCACTCTGATTTAGTTTACCTTTGAAGCATTAAAGTGCTTGCTCTCTAAACAGTTATTGGTAGCCTGAGTGGGTTATAGCCTATTTATAGTCTTATTTATTTATTGTAATGGGGAAAACATGTTGAAACTGCTTTATATCAGATGGTTTTTTTCCCCATAACATGCCGAAATAAGTTTGTATTCAAGAAATAAAACTGGAATGATGTCATTAAATTTCTCTAAACAAGTACCACAAAGATAAAACATACAGATAAATTACTGTGCAAAAAATCATTCAAACAAACAAAATCTTAAACTCCAATGATAAACCGGTGTGCCTATTTATTACTGAGAACGTTCATGAAAAATGGTAAATCTTTAGGCATRACCTACAACCTCATTCACAGCTGATTTAGTTGAAGCTATAAAAGAAAATAATAGTTTAAAATGCTTGTTTTGCACCATGAAGGGTGTAGTGGTGAAGCTGAAAACATCGCATATGTGAAGCTGTCCCTTTTAAGTATGAAAAAAATTAACAGAAAATAAATTAATAGGAAGTGTTGGGCTTAAAATACTACAACATCATCAAACTTGCACAATTTTAGAAATCACTATAATTCAAAATCACTTATCTACTGTTAAATATATATAAAGAAAAACTTGGCAAACAGAAGAAAGTGTGGACTTTTGAAACTGACTGGTTATAACAAACGACTTAAAATACAATTCAAAGTTGGTTGTAGCAAAGTCATTGTTACACATAAAACATAGGTTTGTAAGTATAGATGTTTTTTTTAGTTTGAGTGATTTATAGTTCAGAATGAAATTACTAACAAACAAAAAAACAGTCCTTAAGTTACACAATGGTGTCCAAAGTCGGTCCTCRAGGGCCGGTGTCCTGCATGTTTTAGTTGCTGCCCTGGTTCAACACAGCTGAACCTAAGGAGTGTTTAATTAATGYGCCTCTGCAGACCTTGATGACGAACTGAGAAGGTAAATCATCTGTTTGAATCAGCTGTGTTGAAGCAGGGACAAATCTAAAACTTAGTTGCAGGAGACCGGCCCTTGAGAACCGGAGTTGGACATGCCTGAGTTAACAGGTATGAATAAACTGAAAAGTAGTGAAAAAATAACAACAAAAAACGAGAATAATAAGAAAATCAGCCAGTATTCAAAACAGTAAAAATTAAAAACGTAATTAGAAGTTTCATAAAAATAACTGCTACTGAAGACCACTTTACATCACAAAGAATCTTTACTCTTCGGAAGCAAATACAAAGAAATTATAGATGACCTGAAACTTTTGCACGGTATTGCAGCTCTAATCAACACATGAGGACCTTGCCCTGCAAGGGCTTCAAATTTTCAGGAAATGTTTCTGGACAAACATAACTGTTAATGTTAAATTATCATTGACTTCTTAAGAAAATCCTTGCTTTTACATTTTAATACTGTTCATTTTTTTTGTGTTACTGTACAAAAAAGAATACCATACTTTCTAAAACTTATAAAAAGTAGAAGTAATACCAAATTCCTGACGTACTAATAATGCTGAAGCACATAAAACTAAGTTTAACCATACAATGATAAAAACATGCCGAACTTTATCAGTAAAAACATTTGGTTCAAACAGGAGTTTTGCATTAAGGACACAACCTAAATACTCATTTTCAAACACATCTAGTCCAAAACATTTACAAGATACAATATATACATTTGTACAAGTACAGAAAAATGGATAAATAAATAAGTTAACTGAGAACATGTTTTTTTTATCCAAAAATTAAACCCAAACTAGGCATTTGTATACATTATGAATATTATCATGAAAATATTACTACTGTTTCATACTAGTTCACAGAGTTTCCTGTCAACATTTTTCTGCACTTATCAGTTTTTCCGTAAGTTTTGTTCAAATGGCATAAATTATTATCAGAGATGTTTCTGCCTAATTGTTTCCAGGTGTAATTTACAACAGTCAAAGGAAAAACAAAGTATTTCAAAGTGGAAGCCGATTCTCTGGAAAAATCACTGAGCTGATCATAAAAACATGATCAACAATCACCATGAAAGATTTTAGAAACTAGTGCTATGATGCTGACATTTAAAAAAAAAGGCGGTCAGATGAATGTTTTTGCTCTCAGTGAACATCGCTCTCCATGAACTCCTCCTTGATGGAATGCTTGCTATGCGACACTTTGCAATCAGGCATGTCGAAACCAAAGTCAGCCCACTCGTCGGCAGCCGCTGCCATCCCAGAGGTCCCGACAACACCAGGCCTGTTGGGGATGGTGATGGTGTGGCGGACACGGAAGTGCACGGCCTCCATGACCCGCTGACGCTGCAGTTCCCCGCCCGCGGCCCCGATGGCCGCCATGGCGGAGGCGGCCATGTTGCCRCCGGAGCGGAGCAGCTGCTGGCCGTGATACTCGTGGTGGTGAGAGGAGTTGGGAAGCTGGAGGGGGGCGCCTTGTTTCATGTCCTGCAGACCTCGCCAGATGGCAATACGGGTCTGCTCCGGTATCTTCAGGGCACCTAAATCCTGGTAAAAGCACAGAGTTAGAGATGTGAGGACGATGAAAAGTCAAACAAACTGAACAGTTTCAGTGTAGGAGCTCCTTCTTGTGTTTGAAGACACTCTTCTATGTGGTCAAAGACTTTAGATGTTACATTTAATAAGCTTTATGCATTGAAAAAACAACAYTTGTCTGATTTTAGATTGTTTTATGTGAGGCTTAAATGTGAGAATACATTTCGGGTGTATGATTGTAAATGCATCGCCAAAGGGGTTACCTCCATGGAGAGAGTTTGGAGATGGTAGACAGACTGGAGGCCTTGWGAGGCGAAGTACTCAATGAAGTTCTGACAGCCCAGACTGGTGAGAAAACTGTATGGGGAGAAAAGCAGGGCTGCTTAGACCAGAGCTAGAGCTGAAAAGATGACTAAAAAATGAACATCACACTCTTACACTCTCCCAGTTAACATTTAATTTCCTTTTCAGCTGAATAAATTCAAATGTGATCTCATTACTCGATTCAATACAGACCTAAAACTGTACATTCTTTAATGTAAAATGTAACTGTACAACTTTATTTAGAAAAGCAATTTTTCTATAAAATCATGCCATATTTAGGACATAATTTTATTATCAAATGCTATCTTAAAACTAAAACCCAAGTGGGAAACTGTACATCCTCGTAGATGCAGTGGAAGCAAACATGCATTTATATTAATGATTCATAGGGACACTCTTGCTTTGGTTAAGAACCTTTATTATAAACACATGAAATGTGAAAGTCTTGGTAACATACAAAGCAAAAAGAGTGTAACTGTACAATTACCAGAACAGTCTAGAAAAGAAAAAAGAAAAAGGAAACTGCTGTATAAAAAAATGCCATGTTTATGTTAGCCACTTGAGTGACTGCGTTAACACATTATCTTAAAAAATATATATACATAAAAAAATAAAACAGCTTTAAATTAAATATGACGTAGACATTTTTTATTTTGAAAAAAAAAATGCTGTAGTGCATTGCAAAAAAAGCGGCTGTATACAAAATGAAAGCTCTTTCAGACATAGTGAAGGTCAACACCTCCAGTATAACCAGCATGAAACATCATTCTGATGGTTCATTTAGACATTTTCTGAGCAACTAAAAGTTCAATCAGATGTTGCTCTTTGTTTTTGGCCAAAAGTGTCGTATTCTTTAACACTTTAAGGTGGACCTTCACTATGGCAAYAGCTCAGTTTGCAAAGAGATTTTTAAGTAATTGCAAGCCCTTTGAAAGCAGCCATAATCTCATCAAACTGTCTGTAAAACACAGCATCACTTCAACAGACTCAGTGGCAAAAAAGAGAACCTGATTATGGCCAAACAAAGCACCTGTTTTGGTACCAACCAGTTATTARCTTTAAAACTCAACAAGAGCGTCAGATTGTCGGCTGGTCTTTTTACAGTCGGTTAAAGAGGGAGTGTCACTGCAGGGTGAAGTACCTGACAAGGCTGGGGTCAGGGTTATAAGGTGGCGAGCTGCAGTGGGAAGCAGACACTAAATTCTGACTGCTGTGGCCACTGTTCATGTCACCGTTACCCTGCATGTGGTTGCTGTTGAGCATGTTTGAACCTGCAAGAAAGAAACGATCAAATGWTGAGCATGGAAATAGAGCTGAAACGCACTGGATCATGAGAAATGGGAATGTGAGCTTGATGACTGGATTTATGCACCACACGTTACCCACACTGTGGTAAACACTCACCCATATGAGCGAGGGAGGGGTTGGCGTTGGGATGTTGCTGGGGCTGCTGCCCCACCATCTGGTTGACTGGCTGGGGCTTGCCGAGGCTGCTGTGTGAGTGCGGATGCATCTTGTTCATGTTGGACAGGGGGGAATAGGAGGAAGGAGATGATATATGACTCCTATTGGGAAGAGTAGAAAAAGATAYGGCGTGTTATTTTTAAAACAGCTCCAACTCCATCATTTCCCATAAGATATTATTGGTCTAAAACATGAAAGGCAGTGGGGAATATGCATATTTTCAGTAGTGATGTTTGAAACCAGTGATCTCCTTTCCAATTCTGATACWGGGTAAAATTCAGGCTGGTATTGGCGATACTAATCCAATACCAAATACTTTGTGCAAATACACCTAATGTGCCTGGTGCATTTTAAACAACTGCGTCATAAAGAATACAAAAAATCAGAGTAATTTATTTATTCATTTTAAACTCAGAAATATATTGATGTAGTGTCCTCAATTACAAGCCGAGCAAATACAGCTAAGGACACAATTAGACAAAATATGTGAAAACCGTGTTAAAATAAGAAGCAAAAACTGATAAAACTATTAAATAAAGAATTGTTTAATTATCAAGAATAACTGTAAAAAGGAAAATGTGCTTCTTAATTTGCTACATGAAAAAAATTAACATGAAAATGCTGAACATGTGACGTCTACAGACTGGATGCTGCCACGCTTGTGCATTCCACAGGCGGAAGAAAAAACAGTCCCCACCAACATCGTATGATTTGAACAAGATTTCAATATTTCATGTACTTTCCACTGCGTTCTTGTTAATTAAATACAYTATCTGAAATGATTGAAATGTCAAAGTATGAATATTTTGATTTTGGTATTGATTCTAGAGCAAAACATCCTGATATTGGTGGTATCGATATTTAAGTRTCGATCTGCACATCCCTAATTTTCAGGGAATGTTAAGAATTAAGCTACAACTTATCTACATTTTATAAAAGACTGAGCATTTGTGTGTCTTTCATAGTTTTACTCACGGTCTCTGCAGAAGCTGTTGCTGTGTTTGTTGTCTGTAAGAGTCCACCAGAGGCTGAGGCACCAGTTCCACCAACTCCAAGCTGTCTTTAATCTTCATCAGCAGCTCAAAGTTTTCCCGACCACGGACCTGCACACAAACACAACGCACACAGTAAGTAAAACCAGACAGGTTAGGATTTCTCCTAATATTTTGAAAGACATCAATGAGTTCATTACAGGATGATAATCCATGTCCCATCGTAAAAAACACAAATAGAAAAATACAAAATACATTTACAGTAAAAATAACAAATCATTCATGATGTGTTACTTGAAAAAAAATTCTTACAGGAATATAATAAATCTCTTCTTCTCCATGCCGTCTCTTCCTTATGTTAATATTCGGAGTGGGAATACTTGGTGGACTCTGTTTGAAGTCTGCAGACATTAGAAACAAAATAATTATGAGGCCGATTTCAAACACACACACATCCCACTTCTTCTTTATTTTTTTAACCATCAAAACAAAGCAGATAAAATGTAACACTGTCTCTAATCATATAAATGTGGCATGTGTTTGGTGTCGAAGAGTCTCTTTCAACTCACTGCGCTTGTTGGCACTGCCGTTTTTGGACACGCATTCGTTCAGAGCCTGCTGTTCCCTGAAATGATCCTCGTCAGCTTTGCGGTCTCGACCAGGACACGCACATATCCGACCCTCAAATGACCGTCTGCCCAACACTTGGCCACTGCGGAGACAAATCAGGACATACACATATCATCCATGATGTGGTAACAAAACACCACAAAATATGTACTTAGATACTCATAGAACACAAAATAAATTGGAAGAAACTAACTTCTTTACTTTTGCATATAAAACGCCACCGCAGTGATTTTAGTTGAACTGAACTGAATTGCAGTTATAGATAGTCATAAAATCAGTTGTTTGTTAACAAATATTTTACATTGAATGTGTTTGATCATTGCTATAGGCAATGTGCTTTTTCATAAATATTGCAAGGTAAGTAAAATCCAAATGTAAAAGAGGTGAGACATGTTACTGAATGAAAAGGGGCGACATGTTTAAACTGATCGTACTGACTCACTCTCTGGTTTCCAGAGTAATGATGATGAGGATGGGTCTCCTGTTCATGCCTCCCACACAGCTGCTGTTGCACATAAAATTGTAAAGGATGGTGGTGAACTCAGTTCCAACCTGAAACACAAARCAACAAGATCAAGACAAAGGGTCTGAACGCACCTCTATAGGTCCTTGCACTATAATCTCATATTGGATGCATTTATTTAATTCAGATTAAAATTGACAAACACATTTCAAACAATCTATGTCACCATCCTGAATGTTGTTTGCTGCTTTGAGATATGTTTTTTTTACACAATTAGAAAAAAAGTCTGGATTGCTTAAATKTTGCAGTTGCTTCCAGAACACCGGTTCACCACCAGAGAGTGCTGTTGCAGTGCACTTTGATGTGGAAGAAAACAATTGTGCCTTTTATTGCCCTCTTCAGGTGCAACCACATGATCGTTCTGCATGATACGGCCTGCCCCGCATCTTTATTTTTAGATGTACTTTCTTTGAGGCAAATTTACTGAAACTTACTCGGAAAGATAGTTGGAATATACTTGACTTGTAAGACGAGCGTTGTTACCTCCTCTCTAATTTCCAGACATTTCAACAAAAGATGTCCAAGTGGTAAAACATTTATATCTTCCAGTGATAAAAAAGTTTTGTCACAGTAGCTTATTCTGTATTTCTGTTTACATTAACCCAATAGTTTTTTATTTTTTAATTTTTTTTACAGAATCAGCCTGAGTTTAGGGATATTTCAAATAGGCTACATAAAACAGCCATGCGAGTGGCTACATATTGGTACAAACGGTGCAGACATGGTAAATGATGGACTGTATTATGCATTTCTACTAGTTTAATATGGCTCATGTTCTAGATGTTTTGACTTCCTCAGATTAAACATTGCATTATGCAAGTCTCAGTTTTCTGAGAAACTACCAACCTGTGGAGCCTCATAGGGCACAATGACACTCTGCCTGCCAGTGACAGGATCGTCCACATACTGATTCAGGTTGTTCCCCTCGACTCTGATCAGGTGACTGGCTGGAGCTGTTTGACCTGAGGACAGAATGACAGGAAAATGGTGAGCTTTAAGTCTRTACAGTACACCACCAATCTTTGCTTTAAATTTTTTTATTAAAAGTACATGGCAGTGAGTGAGAATTGAATTTATTATTTTCTATTTATTTATTGAATATACCATCATTAAAGTCCCGCCCAAGCTCATGATTGGGGCACCGTTTGACCACCTCTGTGACGTGCTCTGCCTTTTTGTAAACCGGCATGGCTCTGATGATGCTGCCATGAGGCGGAGAGGAGGACAGCTTGATCTGGATCGGGCAGGTTTTGGCAATCTGACAGTAAAGCTTCTTCAGCAAAGGAGAATACTAAGGAAACAAAAAGATCACAGAGAATGTGATTTTAGGTTATCTGAACATATACGCTTTAAAATTTGTAAGTAAAAACAAAAACGGTCAGAAGTGAAAGAAAAAGCAGACACATGGAACCTGATAGTACTGCATTTCTCTTTCTCTTTAAATGAAAACTTTCTATTTGTATTTTATAGCTTCTTAACTTCTGAACTTAAACTGTGCAGCTAGCTAAAATAAAACACATTTTTCCAACAAAACATTTTGAGTAATCCATGACTTCATCACCACCCGGCTGGATTACTGTTATGCACCTTATCTGGGTCCTCCGTTGTATGACTGCAGCAAGGTTTTTAACTTGCACACATAAATTTGAGCATCTCTAATATTTTAACTTCTCTCCACTGGCTGCTTGTGCCTTTTAAGATCCATTTTTGTTTTTATATATTTAAGAGGACTTGTTCCACCATACCATTTTCAGTTGCTGCATCTTTATAATCTCTTTTGCTCAGCTGCTCCCAAGGGTCCCTAAAGCCACATTCAAACTCAGGGGGAATATTTTGCTGCAGCAGCTCCTAAAGAGCTGCCTTTCCGACTCCACACTTCCTGTCTTTAAAACTTGTGTTAAAACTCACCTTTTTTTTCTTAGGCTTTTGACAGTAAGGGGATAGGTTGTCCATTTTCACCTTGTTTTATTTTTTGTAAAAAAATTTCTTGATTTTATTTTTTTTATTGTTTAATTAGATTTTAACCATTTTACTGTTTTTATTATCTCACCTGGGTTTTTGATTGAATTTGTATTGCATGAGCTGTGTTTCATTGTTGACTCTGTACAACACGTTGGTCTGCTGTGGTGCATAAAATGCTTTATAAATAAAGCTGGATTGGATTGGAAAGTTGGTTTTAACAGTTTACGTAAAAAAAAAAAAAAAAACTTTTTTGGGATGTTTAAATGGTCGAGCACCAGGATGGTGAAAAGCTTACCGTTAAAGTGAAGAAAATCTTGTGAGAAACGTTTTTCACAATCAGTTGACATCCTTTTCCCCTTGAACACCTTTACTGATTTTGCATACAAAGAACTATGTTTTAATGAACTTTATGGAAAACTGAAGATCTGGGTAATGGTGTAATGGTAAAAAAGAAAAAAAAATTTGGGTGAGTGTATGAACTCTAGACAACAGTACGTTTAAATAAAAAAAAATAAAAAATTTAATTAATTAATTAAATCTATCCTGCAACTTTATCCTTATGATCCTGAAAGCAGCAAATTTCAAATCTTATAACAGTGTATRACAAATAATTTAACACAATTAGATGAAACGAAGAAGTTCTGAACAGGAATCTGCACGTCRGTTTTTAGTAACATTTGGGTTCAGTGGAAAAATGCTGAGCTGTGCTAAAGCCAAATCTTCAGCGATTTCTCAGTTTACAAGCAGAAGCACATGCACATGCATGCACATGAGTGTTAATGCGTGGAAGTGCCAGAAACAGACGCATCAAAAGACATCACATGGMATGAAATGGCCTTACATGCCCCAGCACAATCTATGACCTTCCAGGAAAAAGCCTGCTCTGTCCTGTGTGGACATGCTCTGATTTGTCCAACATTGGTGCAACAGCGAACCCTAGCAGAAATAAAATTTTTGCAATACAATACAATGTTCAATACAATTCAGTGTATTGAGCATAGTGTGTGATGGAATTTGGCCATTTTACCTTTTCATAGATTAGAAGAAAAAGAAAGCATGCAAATCCCAGGACCCTAAGATAAGGTACTACAGAAGAGATTATACTTTATTTTCCTCTTGGGGAAATTAGAATTGAAATGAAAGTGCTGAACTTCACAATGAATTCAACAAAGACCACACCAGTTCCAGTTAAAGGACATTTTAAACTTGTCCTATTTAATGCTTCCTTTTTATTTTGAAGGATCTTTTGGCAAATCCTGTATTGCAAGGATTACTATAATACAAAATAATACATTTATTTTGAGTAAAGTTTCAGATCTTAGAAAAACAATCAAAACTTCTTTTTAAATACCTACAGAGGAAATAAATAAGCATCATAACACTGAAAACCAAACCTTACTGCACTTCAAATTTAAGTTTGGAACCCTGTGAATTAGCCTGAAAACATTAGGCTGAGATAAACATTATTTAAGTAACTAAGTTTTATGTCTTCCAAATAATTGCTCACTTGTCTTACACAGTTTTAAATCTGTTGTTTTTTCTTCCTACTGATGCGCTAGAAATGAATTTGCTGCTGGCTCAATAATCGCTGGGAAAGAGTCAGTTCTTAAACCACAGCACTTCCAACAAAGCTCTTCTGAGCTTCACCCCCCCTCCCACACACACACACACACACACACACAACACACAGACTCAGAGCTGATTCCCAAACTCTACACACATGCCCTCAGCCATAAGAGCGATGGAAATACCTCTGCACGACTTTACCTGTTAACTTTTCCTAACAAGTCCAGACAGCTCATCCATATCATGAATAAATGATTATCTGACAGCAGCCAGACAAACATCTTATTTACTGAGCCGGGGACTTTTCATGTTGCAGCAATCACACAATGAGAACTAATCTATTGAAACACTTCATTTTTTTCAAGGATTAGAGGAAATATAGTTTGAACATATTTTTTGTTCTTAATTGTAATTATTTGAACTATAATCTGAGTTAATATTTAGAGCCATCATGGAGAAAAACTACTCTGCTTTTCTCAATAACACACGGTACAGTATATGAATATTCTTCCCTTAGATTCACTGGCCTATTAGTAAAAGTAGAACTTGTTAAGAAAACACTTTTTTTTCATTTTAAAGTATTGAAGATTTTCTAATCCATTCACCTATTGTGCAGACTGAGCACGCGCACACACACACACACACACACACACACACACACACACACACACACACACACACACACAC